TAAAAGGTTGAGGACTCCTGGCTTATCCTAACAATAGCTTATTGAAACAAACCATTTCACAAACTAAGGTCCATGGCAATGGATACAATTCAACCTCATTCCATTTATCAGAAGGATTGCTGGATATGTTCCATTAATAACGTCTTATGCAAAAAGTTTGAATGTTTGCCATGTAGGTGTTCTGTGATCTGCCCTGAGTCCTGAAGGTATGAGAAGGGCAGAATATAAATGCTGTAAATAATAATAAATATAATAAGGTACATTGTTGTTGTTGTTGTTGTTGTTGTTATTCAATGCATTTAAATAAGCTTGAATGTTTGCCGTGTCTGTGTTCTGTGATCCGCCCTGAGTCCCGAAGGGGTGAGAAGGGCAGAATATAAATACTGTAAATAATAATTATAATAATAAGGTACATTATTATTATTGTTGTTGTTGTTGTTGTTGTTGTTGTTGTTATTATTATTATTATTATTATTATTCAATGCATTTAAATAAGCTTGAATGTTTGCCGTGTCTGTGTTCTGTGATCCGTCCTGAGTCCTGAAGGGGTGAGAAGGGCAAAATATAAATACTGTAAATAATAATTATAATAATAATAAGGTACATTATTATTATTATTATTATTATTATTATTATTATTATTATTATTATTATTCAATGCATTTAAATAAGCTTGAATGTTTGCCGTGTCTGTGTTCTGTGATCCGTCCTGAGTCCCGAAGGGGTGAGAAGGGCAGAATATAAATACTGTAAATAGAAATAATTATAATAAAGTACATTTTTGTTGTTGTTGTTGTTGTTTTTGTTGTTGAATGCAGTTAAATAAGCTTGAATGTTTGCCGTGTCTGTGTTCTGTGATCCACCCTGAGTCCTGAAGGGGTGAGAAGGGCAGAATATGAATACTGTTTATTATTATTATTATTATTATTATTATTATTATTATTATTATTGTATTATTATTATTATTGTATTATTATTATTATTATTGTATTATTATTATTATTATTATTATTATTATTATTATTATTAGCATTTGATGGCCTGGTAGTTGTTTGGTGTGGCTTGTTAATCCGCCCTGAGTCCCGAAGGGGTGAGAAGGGCAGAATATAAATACTGTAAATAATAATTATAATAATTGTTGTTGTTGTTGTTGTTGTTGTTATTATTATTATTATTATTATTATTCAATGCATTTAAATAAGCTTGAATGTTTGCCGTGTCTGTGTTCTGTGATCCGTCCTGAGTCCCGAAGGGGTGAAAAGGGCAGAATATAAATACTGTAAATAGAAATAATTATAATAAAGTACATTTTTGTTGTTGTTGTTGTTGTTTTTGTTGTTGAATGCAGTTAAATAAGCTTGAATGTTTGCCGTGTCTGTGTTCTGTGATCCACCCTGAGTCCTGAAGGGGTGAGAAGGGCAGAATATGAATACTGTAAATAATAATTATAATAATAAGATACATTATTATTATTGTTATTTATTATTATTATTATTATTATTATTATTATTCAATGCATTTAAATAAGCTTGAATGTTTGCCATGTCTGTGTTCTGTGATCCGCCCTGAGTCCCGAAGGGGTGAGAAGGGCAGAATATAAATACTGTAAATAGAAATAATTATAATAAAGTACATTATTATTGTTGTTGTTGTTGTTGTTGTTCAATGCAGTTAAATAAGTTTGAATGTTTGCCGTGTCTGTGTTCTGTGATCCGCCCTGAGTCCCGAAGGGGTGAGAAGGGCAGAATATAAATACTGTAAATAATAATTATAATAATAAGGTACATTATTATTATTGTTGTTGTTGTTGTTGTTATTATTATTATTATTATTATTATTATTATTATTATTATTATTATTCAATGCATTTAAATAAGCTTGAATGTTTGCCATGTCTGTGTTCTGTGATCCGCCCTGAGTCCCGAAGGGGTGAGAAGGGCAGAATATAAATACTGTAAATAGAAATAATTATAATAAAGTACATTTTTGTTGTTGTTGTTGTTGTTTTTGTTGTTGAATGCAGTTAAATAAGCTTGAATGTTTGCTGTGTCTGTGTTCTGTGATCCGCCCTGAGTCCCGATGGGGTGAAAAGGGCAGAATATAAATACTGTAAATAATAATTATAATAATAAGGTACATTATTATTATTGTTATTATTATTATTCAATGCATTTAAATAAGCTTGAATGTTTGCCATGTATGTGTTCTGTGATCCGCCCAGAGTCCCGATGGAGTGAAAAGGGCAGAATATAAATACTGTAAATATTATTATTATTATTATTATTATTATTATTATTATTATTATTATTATTATTATTATTCAATGCCGTTAAATAAGCTTAAATTGTAAAAGTGGCCACACAAGAAGTGTCAGAGAGCTGTGGCCAAGCAACGAAGGCCATATTCATCAATATGTACCAATGGCATGGCAGAGTTAAACTTGCTAAAACCTTTCATTGATGGTTACTAGACAGAACAACAATCTATTGCTTCCACTATCAAATGCAGTATCTTCCCTTGCTGGCAGCTAGCAGTCAGTCTTCTTAACTGCTTTAGATAAACTTCTCAGAGATATCGAAAAAGCAAAGGCCAGCCTATATGCCCTCTCTGTTTGATCCAGACCATCTTTGCTATAAACAGTAGACAACACTGTGTGAATGCACTGAAGACAAATGATTTTCCCTATCTCTTGAAGAGTATACAATTACACCAAGTGGTGTTGATTTAAACACATCAGAACATGAATTTCAGTATCTTACTGAGAGACTAGCTCTGCCCCAGTCTCCCTGTGTGCCTTGAGGCTTTCCCATTGCAACACTTCTGGTGACCTGATGTAGGGGATTCCTCATCTTCGGAGGAGGAAGGGGAGCAGGGAAGTGCTCAGGAATTGGAGGGAGAAGAAGAATCAGACAATGAGGGTTTGAAAGTGACCACATTTCTAGAGAGATGAAAAGAGACAGAGCACAGACAGCGTTCCGCCAGAATAGCTGCTAAAAACGCTGAGCTAATTGGGAGACACCCTAGTATCTCCTGCGTGGGGAATTCAGGGCTATAAATCAGAGGCAGGAGTAGTCAGTTTTTGTTTGTAACAATCACCATAATACTGATGTTTTCACTCCTATGGAACCTGCTTTGTGTCTGCTGCTAAGGACTTAGTTCATCGTCTGTTGTCTGATGGAAAACTAGTGTTTCTTTTGGGACTTCGTAAGAGACTTTAATTTGTGTCTGGATTAAGACTTCCTTGCTTTCTTTTGCGCTTTTCAATTGCATTTGCTTATCCTTTGTGTTTGCTGAAGTAAAGCATTTTTCTTTTACTTTCAATATTGTCTAAAGCAGTGGTTCTCAACCTTCCTAATGCCGTGACCCCTTAATAAAGTTCCTCGTGTTGTGTCGACCCCCAACCATAACATTACTTTTGTGCTACTTCATAACTGTCATTTTGTTCCAGTTATGAATCGTAATGTAAATATCTGATATGCAGGATGTATTTTCAATCACTGGACCAAATTTGGCACAAGTATCCGATACACCCAAATTTCAATACTGGTGGGGTTGATTTTGTCGTTTGGGAGTTGTAGTTGCTGGAATTTATAGTTCACCTACAATCAAAGAGCATTCTGAACTCCACCAATGATGGAATTGAACCAAAATTGGCAAAAAGAACTCCCATGACCACCAAAAAATACTGGAAGGGTTTGGTGGGCGTTGACCTTGAATTTTGGAGTTGTAGTTCACCTACACCCAGAGAGCACTGTGGAGTCAAAGAATGTTGGAGCTTGACCAAACTTGGCACAAATATTTAATATGTCCAAATGTGAACACTGGCAGAGTTTGGGGAAACTAGACTTGTCATTTGGGAGTTGTAGTTGCTGGGATTTATAGTTCACCTACAATCAAAGAGCATTCTGAACTCCACCAGTGATGGAAGTGAACCAAACTTGGCACACAGAACTCTCCTGCCCAGCAGAAAATACTGGAAGGGTTTGGTGGGCATTGACCTTGAATTTTGGAGTTGTAGTTCACCTACATCCAGAGAGCACTGTGGACTCAAAGAATGTTGGAGCTGGACCAAATTTGGCATGAATATTCTATATGCCCAAATGTGAACACTGATGGAGTTTGAAGAAAATAGACCTGACATTTGGGAGTTGCATTTGCTAGGATTGGGTCAAACTTCCCACACAGAACCTTCATGACCAACAGAAAATATTGTGTTTTCTGATGGTCTTGGGTGACCCCTTTGACACCCCCTGGCGACCCCCCCAGGGGTCCCGACCCCCAGGTTGAGAATCACTGGTCTAAAGGCTGTTTTTGAAGGGCAATTCAGGACAGCTGACTTGCATTGAAAAGACCAAGGAAATCAAGCGACGAAAGACGCACCATACAACACAAAAATACAATTACAATGCATGCATGGAGGAAAGAACATATTCCAAACAACTATGAACAAGAAAGATATGATATGTAAGTTTGGAGATGATAAAACAAGTCAAAGAGATGAGAAAGTAGAAAGACGAACCCAACATGAATAGCACAAATTTAAAAATGCTGTTGCACATGGCTTTGCAAAGAATGAGCAATGAGAAATTAAAAAAAATGTTATATGCACCAAGAAGATGACCGTAAAATGAGATATGCAGCAAAAACACGGTAACCCTCCAAGTACTAATGAAAGATGTAAAAAAACCAGATGCATTTTACAGTATCAACATGGTGTATATAAGTTCTTGTGGAAATGAGCAAATGGAGGGCATTCAGAAAGCGATGCCCGGCCCTGGACTTTTTGAAAGAGGGAGGAATGAATGAATGAACGACTGCTCTCAGGTGACTAATACGGCTTCATGGAGAAAGCTGAGCGTTGGATGGAATGTCAACGTAAAATTTGGATTCACAAAAACATGTTTTAGAGAGAAACATATATGCACCATGGCCTCAGCGGATGACCATAAAATGCAAAACGGTGATGAGAGTGTGATACGAGAGGAAGCAAACCAACAAAC